TTGGATCCTTTCCCCCTTTCCTTCATTGGGGTCAAACATTGTCATTGTTCGTGTATTTCTTTTAAAGATTTATTTATTTATGAATACAGAACTGGGTACAGGCCAGAGGTGCAGGGGTGATGAGGGGATTCACCAGAGACAGAGTGGGGAGCAAAACAGGAAGATTGATGAAGTACACTGCTGAGGGGAGCAGCAGGCAAGACAGGAGAGGTCTGCCACGCCATGTGGGTCACCTCCAGGACTGGGGATGGAACTCGCACTGAAGCAGTTGTGGCTTGCTTGCAGTCCTGCTCTTTAACCCATTACGCTACCAGGGAGGGCCTGTAACTGTGTATTTCTGTGATTAACAGCAGGTTCCTTTGCAGCAGGAACGAGCCCTAGTTTTAGGCACCATGATGTGTCCAGGGTGTGGCAGAGTGCTTGACTATGATGCTACAGTCGATGCTTAAGAAATATATAACTTAATGGTACTTCACCCTAAAGAGAACCCAAGTATGCTCTGCTAAAGCCACTGCTGCTGCTTATACAAAGTAACATCATAGATACCTGGTTTCTTTCTTTTGAGATTATTTGTGCCAGTGAAATATGACTTTGGTTGTACATTGGACTGTGTGAAGCAATCCTTCTCTTGGGTTTTACAACTGATTTGGTTGTCATAATCTGGGCATGGATTATAGCCCCTGGATTAGTAGTGAGACACTGAAAGTAAGGAACCATTAATCAGCTTTCTCAGCACACAGGGAAACCTTAAGAAGGGCTCGGTTAGATGGAACGTTGGCAATGAATCTGATTTTCACTGAAATGTATGTGTCTTGTGCCATTCAAGTTAGGGACCCAAAACCTCATGTGTGTCTATAGTTAAAGACAATTCTGACACTCCATTGTTTCCCACTCCAACAGCAGGATTAAAGTGAAAATGACATTACAATAGAAATAGGCTATAGTGGTGTTCAAAAAACCTCTTAATAAATCAGTTTTCAAATATTAACAAATGATTTGTGACATGCCTCACGGCTGATTGTGATTTTTAGTCCACATGGTGGGAACAAAGCTGAATCCCACTCAAGAGGACTCTGAGGCTAGCCAGGACCCTGAGGCTGCCTCCTCTGCCAGTCACCCCCTCCCAATCTCCCACCCTCAGGAACAAGCCTGCTCTGCTTCCTTCCTCTTACTTTCTGGCTCTGGAATCAGGACAAAGCAAATCAGAATCTGGCATCAATTTGCCACTCTTTAATAACTCTGATACATCTTGGATTGCCCCATTTACTTGGGCATTTTGACAGCCCTCTTTTAAAGAAAGGCATTTAGTTCACTTTTTGATGGGAACAAGTTCAGCCGCCCCAAAGTGGAGATCATGGTACATTTCTATTCTACTGCCATATTCCCCTTCCTTTCCCTGTGCCTCCCAGCACAGTATCTTTTCTTTATCTCTACCCCTTTTCTCCAGAAAGAACACTGTGGGGTTGGCTTCTCTTATTACAGGGCCTATTAGTGGTGCTGACTTTATGCCAACTTGGTGACTTCATCAATAACAGGTCTGGAGAGCCCAACAACTCACTCTCCCTTCACCCTAGGGAGGGGTGTGTGTCTATGACAGTCCCTTGTCCCTTGACCTTTGAAAGCCCTCACTTCAGCCTTCCTCTCCTCAGAAATGCCAAAGAGAAGAGATGAAGTTGGCGAAGGTGACTGTATTTTTTTCCCTAGTAAGCTGAGCCAGATTCTCGGTCTTCAAAGAACTGTTCCCTTTTGGGACCTGGGTTTCCCTGAGCAAATAATATAACAGCCAGAGGGCTGTACTTGGGAGTCAGAAGGTCCAGTACCCTGGCAAGTCTGGAGACCACTTATCAGCTGTGGACTTTAGGGGAGTCACCTCAGCTTTCTGCACTTAACTACCTATCCTCAGGGTTACTGACTTGAAATGAGTGTGCCTAAACTTTATTCCATTATCTATTAAACACACACACACACACACACACACACACACACATACACACACATTACAGGAAGTATCTACTGACCCGTTTGCAGTGGAGGTTCAGGGAAGGAGGGAAGGCCTCCCCAGGACTTGACCCAGGCTCGCTCCTGGGAGCCTTAGCGTCCTTCCAGCAGGTGCGGGTCGCCCCTGCCCCCCAACCCATTCTAGCACTGGGAGGGCTTGACGGGGCGCACAGGGGAGGTGTTAGTCCTTGGAGAGATCCAGATAATCCTAGAGGGTCAGTCAGTCCCATGGATTCCCAGCGTGTTTTTCAGACGGGTGGAGCTCGCTAGCTTCTCCTCCGTGGAGCCCTCTCCCGCGTCTGGCCCCCCACTCAGCCTCCTCCTTCCGGAAGGGTGGCAACCACAGGCCGCGCGACTCTCCCCACCCCCTAACTCCCGCCGCCCCCAGTGTGAATCCTGCTTTCTGCGCGCAGCTCGCCCCGCAGTGGGGCGTCCAGGAGCTCCCCCTCGGGGCTGTGCTCAGTGGCCGCCGGCGGGATTGGCAGCAGCGCCAGCCGCGGGGCG